TGAGATCTAGTAGAGGATTAGAGTGTTGAGCTTCTGCAAAAGCTTCAAAACCGTAAAATAGTCATTAACTCGGCTCGACTGGGCGCACTACTATTAGAGAAAATACTTTATATTATTTTTTTTTTGTTTTTTAGTTCATCTAGTCGTTATAGATAAATGAATTTAGTACTAAATATGAAAGATTTTTACAAAAAAAAGCACAATTACATGAAAGATTACAACATTTTGTTACTAATAAGGTGAAATTTGGAACCCTGGAAAAGGTACATTCACAATTAAACCACTCTGACTGACTTTTTCCTCTCAAAAATGTAAACGCATCCTTTCTAGTGCAATCATTTCTCTTTCTCGTAACAATAGATCTGTATTGTGAAGTAAAAATAAGCATTCTTAGGTGCCAACAATAAGTTTAAGACTATTTAAGCACCCGATTTGCATGGAGTTTGAACACAAAGTACACCCAACTTCAATAAGCTCTCCTAAACAAAATTTGAACACATTCAACACGATATTTTGAACGGACAGTCGCGTAGTCGTTAACTATTTCACTAATAATTTGGTGTAAATTCAAAGATAAACTAAACTATTATAGTCATTCGATAGCTTTGAATCTCCTCTTCAAAAACTAGTCGAGAACTTTCTGTGAAATAAATGAGTCCGCGAAAAAACAAAAGACTAAAGCTTTCTTCCCCGTTTTTTTTCTCTTTTATCTCATTTTTTTTGAGGGGAAAAGCCGCGCATCCAAGCTAAAAAGGGGATTTTCTCAGTCAATTCCCAGAAGCCGCCTTCTTTTCTTTTCTTTTCTTTTCTTTTCTTTTCTTTTCTTTTCAAAGAAAGGTTTTTCATAAGAATCAATATGACCGAAATTTTATAAATTTTACGAAACATATTACCATTTTCATTTCTAATCTTCTGAAATTTCAGAAATTTCCATTTTTCAGCTTAACAGGAGAATTAGAGTTAGAATTGGAGTTTGGTTTGAACGGGCCGAGTTTGGTTCAAACAAGTTTGGTTTAAACGATTCCGGGAAGGAGACGAGGATCTTGATGACAAGGAGGGTTGCAGTGGCCCAAGACTCATTGATGATGATTTAAGACAAGTTGTCGAAGCCAATCCGCGGACTACTGAGCCAGAACTAGCAAAACACTTTAATTTATGGATTTTGACCATAAATGATCACTTGAAGGATATCGGAAAGGTTAAAAAAACTGGAGAAGTAGACCTCATCAATTGAATGATTGCTAGAAGTTTACACGCTTTCTTGCTGCTTATTTGTTGAAATCTCGGAACAATAGAGATCCTTTCTGGACTGGCTGATGACGTGTGATGAAAATTGGATGCTGTATGACAATCGAAAACAAAATTCGGAGTGGCTAGACAAAGGAGAAGCATCTCATTCATTTCCAAAACCTGATCTTCAACTCCAAAAGTAGATACCTCATCAATTGAATGATTGCCAGAAGTTTACACGCTTTCTTGCTCCTTCTTTATTGAAATCTCGGAAGAATAGAGAAATTTCATAAACCATTTTACCATTCTCATTCCCAATCTTCAAAAATTTCCATTTTTCGGCTTTCAGCATTTTTCAGCATTGAAAATTAAAGCTAGAATTAGAGTTTTCAAAGCGAAAACTTATAGGAGTTAAATTTGAAAAGATAAAATAACCCAAACTTTGCTTTGCACAGGCTATTTTGCACAAATAGCCCAAATAACCATATTTTTAGAATAAATAATGCTTTCAATCAAAAACTACACTATCAAACACTATTTTTCTCAGGACAACAAACATGTTTCGTGTTATCAGATTGAGAAAAGTTTTTGGGAAAAGAGAGAAATTCTCTGTGAAATCTGACCGTTTTTCTTTTCTCTTTCGCTCCAATTTTCCCCCTTTTCCCCCAAAAATGGAGGGAAATCGATTTCGTGTGAGCTTTTCTGTCTCAAAAGTTACTACAAACCGTTGACCTTGCTTTGCGTTGTTTTCCGTTTAATCAAATCATTAAATTCTTTTGAATTTTACTGATTTTTGCAGAAAACCTTAATGAAATTCTGAAATTTGGCTAATTTTTTAACTTTTTAAGCAAAACAATTCTCTTTTTTCTTTTGATTTTAAAAATACCCACTGGGGCTACCAGTGGTGAATTTATCGCATACACGAAATATATCAATCACAATACAACGACACACACACAATACTAGGCTATATCTTAACTTAACTCACGTCATGACAGACGGCTCCCTAACCCTAAGCTCAATGGGGAACTAAATATTGGGTTGATGCATAATTATCCGGACTTCTTTTTGCGTGCTTGTATCTTTTTTGTTTTGAAAGCTTTTTGTCTATTTCTTTTTTTTAAATATTCGTTATTCTTTAGTGAACAAAATGCGTGTCGACAATCATATCCATCTTCGCCATATCATGCTCTACCACTTCGAAAAGGGATGGTCTGCCGCAGAGTCGTTTCGCGATCTCAAAGAACTGGAGAAGCCCCAACGGACTACCACGTCAATCGATCGCTCAAAAATTGGCAAACAAAGCTTTTTTGGTGGTGAAGGGAAGATGACGATGAAGGAGTGGCTTGTCACTTTAAAGAACTGGGGCCACAACCACCAGACTGCCCTCCAGAAAACCTCTCAACCCGAAGGGGGTGACCATGTCGCAGGGAAAGGAAATCCGAAGGGGGTGACCATGTCGCATGTGGGGTTCGAACCCTCGACCTTCCGATTAAGATAAAAAACACTTAACCAGTCAGCCACACGTGCTCAAAGAGAAATTTCAAAGAGAAATTTGACTTCCTGGTTTACTTTAGTCAAAATCTCCAGCATAAAACAAATATAAATCTATTGGGTTGATGCATAATTATCCGGACTTCTTTTATAAATGATTTTATTTAACAAAAAATAACATAAATAGTTAGAAAAATATGTTTAATTGATTATTCTGGAGCATATTCACCGCCTACATCAATAACTGATTGCCATTTGCTTGGAAGACGATCGATTCCACGAGCGAAGAATAAACGATCTTTGGAGGCAATCCACGCTTTAACATCGTCTATCAAGTCATCCAAATCGTTGTAGATCTTATTTGTTTGCCAATTTTTGAGCGATCGATTGACGTGGTAGTCCGTTGGGGCTTCTCCAGTTCTTTGAGATCGCGAAACGACTCTGCGGCAGACCATCCCTTTTCGAAGTGGTAGAGCATGATATGGCGAAGATGGATATGATTGTCGACACGCATTTTGTTCACTAAAGAATAACGAATATTTAAAAAAAAGAAATAGACAAAAAGCTTTCAAAACAAAAAAGATACAAGCACGCAAAAAGAAGTCCGGATAATTATGCATCAACCCAATATTTTTTTTTTCTTAAAAATACATTTATTGTTTATTGTTTTGAAAATATTACAACAAATTTTAGATTTTAGCGTTTTAAACAAGTCTTTTTACTTCAAAAGTTCTTAGGTTTTTGATACAAAAATGAAAATACGAAAAAATTTAGCATTTTTTTGCTTTAACACCATAAAGATTGAAATCTTTTACAAAAATATTTGAACAATTAAAACCGCAAAACACTTCTTACAATTATAAACAGATCTTTTGTCAAAAATTTGACCATTTCAAACACTTTCAAGCCAATTACCAGCTTATTTACAGCTATCTGTCACTTGAAAAATTCAACTTTCCATATCAATTCTCAATTCTGAATTTCACTTTCACTTGCCTTTTTCTTCTAGACTATTTTTCATCTAATCGTGTGCTTTTTACAGATTTTCTTCTTTTGATAAATCTTGCAAGAATTGATTTGTTCGAAAGGCCGTTCGAGTCGCAGCTTTGAAAGCAAAAACGTCGGAATATTGTCGGTTGTGCTTGCAGACGTCTTGGAGAATGTTGTGAAGGTCTGGTGATCGCGCTGGCTAGTTGTTGACGATGTTGAGTTGATTCCCTCATCAATGAGTCTTGGGCGACTGCAACCCTCCTTGTCATGAAGATCCTCGTTTCCTTCCCGGAATCGTTTGAATCAAACTTGAGCCGTCCTAAGAGAAGTAGCCTCATGATCAAATGCACGATTGATGATAAACAACTTGATGTGACAGGAGACGTGAATCGACGCATTATCCTACTGAAAGACTTATTGAGTACTCGGATTTTGCTGCAAAAAGGTACCAAACAGTCGTCTAAGACATCGCAATGATCCTGGCTACACATGGTAATATCATCCGATTCAAAACGAACTTCAAAGCCATCTGTTCTTTTGCGGTGAAACATGCAACAGATCTTTTGTCAAAAATTTGACCACTTCAAACGCTTTTAAGTCAATTATCAGCTTATTTACAGCTACAGTACTGGACAATGAAATATGATATTTGAAAAACGATCGTCACTTTCGCGCGTCTGTAACTCCTTTGTCTTTGAGTTTAAACTATTAGTGTTATGCATTTTCTGAAAGCTCTTTTCAAGGGCTACACAATGGTAATATTAATATTTAGAAATACGGTAAAGACAAGGGAGTTACAGACGCGCGAAAGTGACGATCTTTTTCAAATCTGTATTTCGTTGTCCAGTGTGATTCCTCCAAGTCCCATTTGTCATGTAGGTATTTGATGTTCCAACGTTAAATCAGCTCTTACCCTCCGTACAATTTTGTGCGCAAAGTTCTGTAGCTAGTTCTATAGTTCTGTGCTCGTCCTGGGCTGAATATGATATTGAAACGTCGTCCTTCGCGGCTGTCTCCTTTGTCTTTGGTTTACTATTGTGTTTAAATTTTCTGGCTCTTTTCAAGGGCTACACTGGTAATATTAATATTTAGAATCGGTAAAGACAAGGGGTTACAGCGCGGTGTTTTCAAATATGACATTTCATTGTCCAGTAGTGTATCTGTCACTTCAAAAATCCAGCTTTCCATATCAATTCCAAATTCTGAATTTCATTTCATTTGCCTTTTTCTTTCTTCTAGACTACTTTTCATCTAATCATTTGCTTTTTACAGATTTTCTTCTTTTGATGGATCTTGAAAGAATCGACATTGAATTATCGCTATTGGATAAAGAAGAATGCGAGAATGGAGCAAGGAATATTTTGAGGAAAATCAAACCGAAATGGAATGGAGAACAAGTCAAATTTGAAGTGGGTTTTTTCATTTCAAATCCTTTTTTTTTCTTTCGAAAATTTCCTGATCTTTATTCATTTATTCACAGATTTTCACCGCTGGAATCACCAACAAAATCTTCGCCGCTTTTGTCGATGAAGAGGATAAAGTGATTTTTCGGGTATTTGGGAAAAATACGGAGAAGATCATTGATCGGTGAGTGAGTTGAGATAAGATCATATGGACCTAATTCTGGGCACCTCACAAGTTCGATCTCATTCTGGGTTTTTCTTTTGCTTTTTTTAGGAAGTGCTGACTAGTTTGCCTGCGCACAAAATATTTCTTGTTGTCACAATTGTCTAAAGCTTTTATAAAGACTCAGCCAGTTGACCAAGCCAGTTGACAAGAAGACTTAACTTAAGTGTGTCGAGTGATACTCAGTTGGTTAACTGAATATCTTTAGAGACCCATTTTGAGTGCTCTTTTTATCTATGAAATATTAACTTTTTTAAAAAACTGTTTCAACCATCATGTAGCCAAGAATGCAAGGAATTTTTTGATATAAAACTTGAACCGGCTTGGTTTTTTGGATTTTGAGAAATTTGACGGCGCTGTTTTGAACGTTTTCTATTATGGTGCTGTTTTGAATACCCCCAGAATTTCAGCTTACTGGTTACTGAAGATTCTGATCTCAAACCTTTTCAGAGCTCACGAGCTGAAATCGTGGGCGGTGTTGGCGGAGAAAGGCTTAGCCGCTCCATTGATTGGCCTCTTCTCGAATGGGATCATTTGTGGATATCTTCCAGGCAATAATTTGAATGTCGATTTGGTGAGAGAGACGAAAATGCAAAGGTTTGTTTTGATTTCAATAATCGAACGATTTTGCTAGGGTTCTACCGGGGATTTTCCAAAGGATCCTTAGGATTCAATGCTCCATCATTAACTGGTTTGGGCTTCATTCTTATATGCAGAAATTTCAGAAATCAATGCTGAATTGCTTCTTTTACAAATCCAAATAACTTTTACAGAAAAATCGCCGAAGCGATGGCGCGAATGCACAAGATTTCGATCGATTCCAACCCAAAGAAACCGTGCGTTTTCCCGAAAATCCTCAATTTCATCTTGAATATCTCTCCAAAATTTGAAGATTCGAAAAAACAAAAGCAATTCGAGGAATATTTCACGGGAATCGATTTTGAGAAAGAAATGAATGAGCTGAGGGAAATTGTGGAGGAAATTGATCCGGAAATCGGTTTTTGCCACAACGATCTCCTGGTTTACAATATTTTATTCGATGAAAAAAGTGGTGGGTTAGATTTTCTAAACTAGTAGCTAGCTTTAGGCTTTCAAGACTTGATATTTATGCATTTTCCAATTTCAGATCGCTTGAGTTTCATCGATTACGAGTATGCGGATTTCAATTACACCGGATTCGACACGGGCAATCACTTTTGTGAATGGGGAGGTGAGTAGGATAAGATTGGTCGCAGACAGTGCGTTCCAAGCCTTATGTCGCAACCTCTTCTTTGCGATTCCACAAAAACTACTCTAGCTAGCTATTCTAGCTTCTTTTTTCAGTTAGCAAGAAAAGATAATCGAAAATAAGCTTTTCTTCGCTTATCTATTTTATCTACTCAAATTCGTAAAGAATTTCAGAATCCACAACTGTTAACTGAAATATGCTTAAATAAACTGTTTCAAATAAACTTTTTAGTTACCATCTATTTCAGAGAATTATTAAGAATTTCGTAGTTATCAAATTTTTTTTTTGATCTATCTTCGCATTTAGGGGTTCCTATTTTCGCAGATCACAACCTGCTTCCACATTTCTCTATCCCTTGCTATTGTCATCCAGTGTTTCCTATCTTGGTTGTTCCTGGTTCGAAGTCTTCGACTTGCTTATGCTGGTGGTGGTTGCACTCTAGCCATCCTTTCTCTGACCGTCTCTGCGATTCTTGTGCTCCACCTCGTTGCTGGTCTTCCGATGGGCCTCTTCTGGTCTCGTGGTAGCCACTCTGTGATCCGTATCGTCCATCTGTCGTCTGTTCTTCTGGCTATCGGAATCGGCTACGTGGCCGGCCCATCTGAGTCTTTTTCTCTCGATTACTTCCACTGGATCTCTGAGTCCTGAGAGCTGGCGCATATGCGTCTTGGTCGAGGCTGTAAAGTTACAAGAAAGAAGTCTTGTTCGGGCAATTCTATCCAACCCTGTACTGTCTAATCGATAATTCTCAAAAGTCTGTACCCTTATTTACATTTCTTTCCACATTTCTCATTCTACATCATTTACATTCCTCTTTAGGCGTTGATGATGTGGATTTTTCCCGTTGTCCATCAATTGACGAAAGAAGAGAATGGTTGAGAGAGTATTTGAAAGAAAAGAAAGGAAATCAACCAACAAATGAGGAATTGGAGGCAAATGTTAGACAAAGTGATTTATTCATGGCGGTCAGTTGATTCCTTAAAACTAAAATAAAAGAAAAACCTAAATTCTAAAAGAAAAATATTCAATTGGTTCATTTACTTTATTGACGAAGAGAAGTGACAAAATTGACCAATTTTAGCCACTTTTTTTTACCCATTGTTACGCTTATTTTTGAATGGAAATTCAAGCACAAAACTTATTTTTCAATGGAAATTCTAAAAGGGATATCTATTTATTTATCTTTTGAGATAAAAATATCAAAAATTTTCAAAATTTGATCCGCATTTGATAAGGATAATAATATTATATTTAAAATTTTCAGTTATCCCACCAATTCTGGGCTGTTTGGGCCCTCGTTCAAGCACAAAACTCGACAATCGACTTTGACTATTTAGGGTAATTAGTTTCAATTTGTAAAGTTAAATATCGAATATACCTTTTTTTAGATATGCAATTCTTCGCCACAAAACCTACAAAGAATATTTGCTGAGATTCTTGGCGAATTAAGAAGTTTTCTTAGTTTATATGTCGTAACCGATTATGAATTTCAGCCAATTATAGATTTTGGTCCAGGCGCGTCCAACCATCAAGTATTTAGTATCATTCAACGCAGAATCATTTATAATTATGTTAAATTTTTTTAATTAGAAAGATTGGATAAAAAGAAAAAAATTTACGGGGCTTCAAAGTTTTCTCTGGAACAAATAGTTTTTTTGCTCTAATTTTTTTTCTTTTTATCAAATCTTGCTAATTTAAAAAATTTAACATATTTATCAATGATTCTGCGTTGAATGATACTAAATACTTGATGGTTGGACGCTCCTAGACCGACTTATTCATAATCGGCTACGCGGGTCCCGCCGATTTTGAACGAAACGTTGTGGCACCGGCAATTTTTAAACTAGACTCAAAAATTTGGTACCAATTGACGCAGAATCATTGACAAAATGATTTAATATTGTCCTCATACGTGAAAGGGTTTCTCTACTAGAAAGATTTGCCAAAAAATTTCATTCATAATCGGCTACGACATATTACGACAGATTGGTGAATTGAAAACTGCGGGCTATTGTCATATGTGACAGTTTGAGCACTTTCTTCAAAAGAAACCCATTTTGGTGTCAATGGAAAAGTTGTAGAGAATCAAAAATCAAGTTTATATTCAAATTTTTAGAACGATTCAAAAACTCGTCTTCAAGAAATGCCAAATTTACACAAAAGAAATGCCAAATTTTCACAAAACTTGCATTTTAAGCTAAACTACTAAGTGTATCTTTTTGGAAATTTGGCTATAAGCCTAATTTTTGATTCTCTACAACTTTTCTATTAACACCAAAATGGGTTTCTTTTGAAGAAAGTGCTCAAACTGGGCTGGCAGCTGACATCTCCAGTCCTCCATTCTTGAGTCTCACACTTGTCTCACACACAAACCAAAATCCTACTACGAAAAAGGAATCCGCAAATTGCCTATAAAATGGGCAGAAGTCGTCAAGAATAATGGAAATTATTTGGAATGAATTGATGGTTTTATGTTGAATAAATTTTAGTTCAAAGTCCCGCAGTTTTCATTTCACCAACCCAATAAATGGCTACAATTTCACTTAAATCTTCTTGTGATTTCGCTTTGAATTCTGAATTTTAATAAACAATAATAAACAATAATAAACAATAAACACTTTATTTTCAATTTCTAGCATTCTTCATATTGAAAATCTTCACAATTTTGACATTCTCTTGTCCTTGTTCGAATCGTTTTTCCCTTCAATTTGAATTGGCATGAGGACCATGGAGACCAGTTCATTGGATCGGAAATCTTAAAAATCTTTAATTTAATAGTAGCTTTGCAAATAGACTAAAATAAACGAAACTGAAAACTTCTTTTTGCCTAAATTTCACTCACCCTTACTCCCTTTTTATAACAACCATTCTCGATCAAAACATAGCCGGCCGTGTACTCGGTGACACTCAAATCATTGCCGATTTGAGTTGAATGGAGAAGACAACGACCACGCGATGAATCGAAGACACACGTCTGAAAGTGGTATTTGATAAGTAGACTTATTCAACTTTAGCTATAAGATTGTTAGCTTAGCTATAAGATTGTTCCCAAAAAAAACTCACCGCACATTGATCTGTATTTAAACAGGCTTTCAAACAACTTGTAATACTCTGACTGATCGTTTCTTTGAATGGCTTTTCTTTGATTCGTTTCTCCACATGCAAAATGAAGACTTCATCACTTTGACAATGATTTTTGTGTGCTAAAATTTAAAGAAATGATTACAGAATGGTTTTGGTCAATGTTTGAAGGTAAGTAGATAGAAAGCTTAGATTTAAAAGCTTTCGCTGATCCTTATTTGGTAAGTGAAACGTTAACTATTCCATTAATCGGCCTTACTTGGTAAACAGAATTTCTCGGCGTAAATCGAATCTTGATTCTCCACCAATTCCCCTTCTCCATGCGGTTCAGCCAATATTGAAAGAATTTGACATTTTTGGGTTAACGGGAAATAGTTCAACGAGTTGCATTTTAGCTTTTCACCATCGGGACTCTAAAATTGTTAAAAATCATCTCTTTTATCGTTTTCTTTTTGATTCTTTTCGTTTTCTCTTGCTCTTTTTGTTGTGATAACAAAAGAGAAGAAGGATTTAGATTAGAAAGTCCAACAATAATCATCAATAGACATCAAGGAAGGACTGGAGTTAGCAGTTCAATTTGGTGTCTTGAAATCGGTCATTACAATTGGTACTTTTCCGTTATGAGTACCCATTTCTCATCTCTTCGTTATGAGGACCCATTTCTCATCTCTCCAGGACTCAAATTATCATGCATTTACATTTAATAGTGTCACCACAAATAGGAATCAATGTTTAAATCATTTTGATTCCAAAGTATTTTCTGTTTTATTCAAATTCGTTGAAACAAATGGAATTTCAACACGAGATGGTTAATCAGTGGTTTGAGATTGGGAGAGTAGAGGACCTCCACGGCACACATCGGCAGCTCGTTCACATTGCTTTTATACGGAACTCGGGCGTTCGTCTCGTCTTCCACACAATGGAGTTGAACGGATAGCGACGCATATTAAATCTCGCACAATAGGCGTTCGTCCACATAGGTGCCTAGCTGACCATTTCCATACGTGGCAATCTCGATCACGAGATCGTCACGACAATCGCTACAACTACAACTACAACAACTACAACTACAACGCTACAACGCTACAACATCGCTACAACTTAATCCAGATGACAAAGACGTGAACACTCAGAAAATCGAGCGTCTCTGGGGCTCTGTGGAGGAACAAAAAGCACTGAAGGACTGACAGGCACTTCCTTTCAAGTTATTTGGCCGAGTTAGTTAGTTATTATAGTTATTATTCAAGTTATTATGGTGTGAGAAGAAGTTGGAGACGATTTCATAGGTACAATTGGATTTTGTTGTACTTTCTAATCCAAATCCTTCTTTTCTTTTATCACCATCATTCCTGCATGATAATTTGAGCCCTCATAACGAAAATGAGGAAGAGATGAGAAACGGAAAAGTACCAATTGTGTAATGACCGATTTCGAGACACCAAATTGAACTGCTAACTCGACGTGAGTCCTTCCTTGATTCGATCTATTGATGATTATTGTTGCACTTTCTAATCCAAATCCTTCTTTCCTTTTGTTTTCACCATCATTCCTAAAAGAAAAAATATTGGGTTTTAAAAAGAGCAAGAGATAACGAAAAGAAAACGACACAAGAAATGAGAATAGAGTTGACCTAGAAACGGTAATGCGAAGTTGGTCTTTTTAGAACTTGAAGACAGCAATAAATACTCAAATCAAAGGTTTCTAGGAGTAATTTTACATGTTCTTTCCAAAAAACACGGTTTCAAGATGATTAGAGCACGGCATCAACAAGAAAAACAGCGCCGGAAATGTTGTTTTTTCAAACTCTATTTTCCGCGCCCCGAAATTTGTCTAAAATTATGATGAATTTAAAAAGCGAATACACGATTTTATAGAGCTTGTTTTAAGCTTTCAGAATCACTATAACACTTCTAGTCTAAGATGGAAAGGCTTCGAGTTATAGCTCTTCAAAGATGGAGAAAAATTCGTGATGTGAGAATGTTTTTGTCAAGCGTCACAAAATTGTATGCTAGACTACGCGACTGTACGGGGGGGGGCGACTATTACAGGTATTCCGGTAAGTACTGTACCTCTTCTTTTGAGCACAATGTTGCACAGTCTCCTTGTTCAATCTCAGAGAATTCTTTCATCGAATTTTGATCGGCGCTTGTTGGAAGCAAGATTTCATTGCCGATTACCACATAGTAACCCGTTGAAGTTTGACAGATTTCTGAAAAACTAGCTAACTACTGGAATTTCGAGAAAATATACAGAAAAAGGGTTAAATTGATAAAATTTTGTGTAAAGCTTACCTGCTTGACTTTCCGCAACAACAGCTTTATGTTCCAAAAGCTCATTTGTGGCTCTAAATTTTGTGGCTGACTTATTTGTGGCTCTAGATTTTGTGGCTCACTCATTTGTGGATCTCTAAGCTCATTGGTGGATCTCTAAGCTCATTGGTGGATCTCTAAGCTCATTGGTAGATCTCTAAGCTCAATGGTGGATCTCTAAGCTCATTTGTAGATCTCTAAGCTCATTTGTGGATCTTTTTTTGATTCTGTATTTAGCCCAATGCCTACCGTAAGATCTCTTCTTCGATGTTGTGAAAATTTGACTTTTGAGCAAGAGTTGCTTCAGGTTGAGTAGCAATTTGTGTCGATGAGACAACTCTTTCAACTGAAGAAAAATGCTAATAGCTAAAAGTGACTTTTTTTCACCTCCACAATGATTTTCAATAGAGATTTTCTTGTAGAAATCAAAATTCATCGCTGGGAGAAGAATTGCGGGAACCTGTGCTTGTAGTTTTTGCTCTGATGGACTCAAATTTTCCATATCATTTCCCCATCTCACCTTTCTCCCATCGTGATCAAAAATTCGACAATTCCTCGTAGCTCTGTCATATGTGAACGAAAAACATTCTCGATTCTTAAAACAAAAGTTGTTCTTTACAATCAAGCTACAATTTTTACGTAGTTTTTTTGATTCTAAAGTGAGTTTAGATTGATCTAACAGAAAATTATAAAAGACTAGGCAAAATTATCCAAATCGCTTTTTGGACCAGTAGTTGTGCCGCTTAATTTCTTTCAAAGTGTCAAGTTTTATATAGGGAATTGTAGCCCTTAATCTTGGCTACATTTATATACTAAAAACTTCACAATCAGATGCATATAACTCATTTTACAAGTCTTGGAATGAGCACTGGTCGACTACTAACCGGGGTGCTTACATTTTCGACTTTCTAGTTGTGCAGCTTTCAAAGTAATTTCTTTCAAAGTATTAAGTGTTATATATAGAATTGTAGCCGCGAATCTTGGCTACATTTATAGACTAAAAACTTCCCAATCGGATGTATACAACTCATTTTACAAGCCCTTGAACAAGCGCCCATCCGGTGCACTGCCATTTTCGATTTTCTACATAAAAATTTATCTAAAAAAGACTTTATTCAATAAACTTTATGTGGATTTTGTTTAAAAAATTATTTCCAACAATTTCATAACAATCACAGCTATTATAACGAGATACTCATGTAAACTAAATATCAAAAAATAATCAAATTTCGGAGAGGGATCGACTAGTATTCAAAGACTTGTAAAATGAGTTGCATAAATTCGATTGGGAATTTTTTAGTAGATAAATGTAGCCAAGATTAAGGGCTACAATCCCCTATATAAAACTTGACACTTTAAAATAAGTTAGACACTTGCTAGACACTTTTCCAAAAAGTTGTCGCTAGAATTCGCGGTCACCCTGTACTCATTAAGGAGTCGCTAGAAAATCGGTTCCGAAATGAAACACGCAAAAAAATGGCTTTGTCGTACTTTGTCAAGATAATCACAAAGCTCTGTTGAACATTTAGATGGATAAAAAATCTAGAATGGCGTAGATCTTGCTCTTGCTTGCTTGATCTTGCTTTTTTTGTTGATCTTGATTATCTTGTTGGTTCTGTGGATAGTTTTCGAATTGAAATCCACTCACTTTATAATTGGTGGTCGATTGAATACACTGCATCATACATGTCTGCAGGGAAATCAAGTCAAAAGTGGCAATCGGTGAGGAATTGTCGATCGTTTTTCTCGTAATACTATTGAAACAGTCATCATCTGAAGAAGATTGGATGATAAATGACAAAATAAGTCGAATTTGAAGAGCTTTAAATATTTGAAGTGGACAAGTAACTTTAAACCAATTGGAATCGAATGGGAATTGAATTGAATTGAATGGGAACCAAATGGGACCAAATCGGGACCGAATTGGAACTAAATTGGAACTAAATGGGAATCAAATCAGAACCAAATGGGAACCAAATCGGAAGCAAATGGGAATCAAATCAGAACCAAATGGGAACCAAATCGGAACCAATGGGAACCAAATCGGGACCAAATCAGAACCAAATCGAAATCCTTCAAAAAAACCCACATTTAAAATAGGAAACAAATAGGAACCAAATCAAAACCAAATGGGAACCAAATAGGAACCACATCAGAACCAAATCAGAACCAAATCAGAACCAAATCAGAACCAAATCGGACCCAATGGGAACCAAATCGGAACCCAAATCAGAACCAAATGGGAACCAAATCAGAACCAAATCAGAACCAAATCAGAACCCAATCAGAACCAAATCGGACCCAATGGGAACCAAATCGGAACCCAAATCAGAACCAAATCAGAACCAAATCAGAACCAAATCAGAACCCAATCAGAACCAAATCGGACCCAATGGGAACCAAATCGGAACCCAAATCAGAACCAAATCAGAACCAAATCAGAACCAAATCAGAACTAATCAGAACCATCGGCCCATGGGCCAAATCGGACCCATCAGAACCAAATCAGAACCAAATCAGAACTAAATCAGAACCAAATCGGACCCAATAGGAACCAAATCAGAACCCAATCAGAACCAAATATTAGGTTGATGCAAAAGTCTTTTTCATTTTTTTCGTACTTCTTTTGAAAAAGAACAAAGTCATCAATTAACCTATGGTTTGCTCTAAATGAAAAGTGTTTATTGTTCAATTTCCCATCTTTTTAAGTCAATTTGGGTTCACTTTCAAGCAAATTCGAGAGTGAAAACGGGTTTTTCATAAAAATCTATAAAAACCTCTATAAAGAAATTGGCTGAATCAATTTCTCTGAAAATCTGAAAAAATATCTAACTTTTTGTGCTCTATCTTTTATTTATTAACATCAAGATTGGTTTCCTTAGCTAAAGCGTCTAAAATGCATCATCGAGCCGTCGCCTTTTTTGACTACCCGACTTCAGGCTCTCAAAAAAATCTAGATATAAGACATTTTAAACTCGTTTTAATGTCATTTTGCAGAAAAATAATTGGCCTTTCGAATGCAATAAACCGTTGTTCAATTGGTGCAAATAGAAACCAAATCGAAATCCTTCAAAAAAAACCCACATTTTATCCTCTTTGCTTCAGCGAATATTGAAAAGAAAAAGAAAAATAGAAATTTCAACATTGTGCTAATGTTATCAATCGAATTGGCTCAGATTTTCGGGGAAAATAGGTGAAAGTGATCTGTTTCTGAAAAAATTAGGTCAAATGGGCTATTTTTAATGTGAAAAAGGTGTCAGTTCTGTTGCAAATTTGAAACGTTTTTTTATTCCAAAACAAATTTTTCATAAAAATCACTGAGCTAGTGTACAAGATCGGAAATGGAATGTAAAGGGAAAACACAAATTTCAGTATATTTTCAAAGAAAAAGCTGTATAAAATTAATTATCTAGAGATAACAGCATAAATATCTGAAACAAATATCTGCAATTTCTTTCTATTCTTGACACGGTTGCATCTGCAAATCTTCACAATCCTCCTCGTAACATTCTCTTGTTCGTGAACGCATTCGGGAACCCGGAGAGCCGAATTGACAACCAGACCTATTATTTTGTTAGTTACAAAACAAATAAGCAAAACCAATGCGTTTTGGCAAACGTTTTGCCACCAGAGAGCACAAAGTATGACTAAATCAAACCACCCCCGAGAAAATCCTGGCTTAGCGCTTTAAAGCGTGGTAAAACTACCGTACCCCTCCCAATTTGCGCGAAATTTCATTTTTATTCATCTCGCGTTTTTCTGATGTGATCGCGTTTATTTTTTGCAGGAACTATCTTTTTTTTTTTCTTCAAAACCACTTTTTCTAGGGTAATTTTATGCGTAGATTCCAAAAAACACAACAAAAGCTTCGGAAAATACGTTTTAAGTCAAGTTTCGGGACTCCAAAGTGCGCGCTTCTATTAGATCAAAATAGGAACCGTACTGGAATCGTATTGGAATCGTATTGGATCCGTATTGGAACCGAATTAGATCAAAATAGGAACCGTATTTGGAACCGTATTAGATCAAAATAGGAACCGTATTGGAACCGTATTGGAACCGTATTGGAATCGTATTGGAACCGTATTGGATCCGTATTGGAACCGAATTAGATCAAAATAGGAACCGTATTTGGAACCGTATTAGATCAAAATAGGAACCGTATTGGAACCGTATTGGAACCGTATTGGATCGTATTGGAACCGTATTGGATCCGTATTGGAACCGAATTAGTCAAAATGGAACCGTATTTGGAACCGTATTAGATCAAAATAGGCCGTATTGGAACCGTTTGGATCCGTATTGGAACCGAATTAGATCAAATGGAACCGTATTTGGAACCGTATTAGATCAAAATGGACCGTATTGGATCGTATTGGTCCGTATTGGAAGCGTATTAGATCAAAATAGGAACCGTATTGGAACCGTATTGGAATCGTATTGGAACCGTATTGGAACCGTATTGAAATCGTATTGGAACCGTATTGGATCCGTATTGGAACCGTATTAGATCAAAATAGGAACCGTATTGGAAATCCAAAGTGCGCGCTTCTATAGTGTTATTTCATTATGTGCTTCACTATGTGCCTATCGACTATTGGAGCACTTTTAAACGTCAAAACTAGAGCCAACATTATTTTTAACCACTAATTCTTCTAAATTGAGAGGCGGCAAAAAAATTGAAAAAATATTTTTTGAGATTTTGATTGATTTTGACCCACATGGTCGAAATTTGGAAAAGATGTTTTTATTTTGCTTCAATTTGATCAGAAACGTAATCAGTAGGTCAAATTATGCCAGAAGAAGTCTTTGTGGTTTCAAAAAATCTTTTGAGAGATCATTTTTTACACCTCTTCTCTATTGTGTATCCCTCTCATCACACTTTATACGCGCGCACTTTGGAGTCCCGAAACTCGGCTTAAAACGCATTTCCCCAAGCTCTCGTTGTGTTTTTCGAAATCTACACATAAAATTACTCAAGAAAAAGTGGTTTTGAAGAAAAAAAAGTGTTTCCCCAACTTTATTAGTACCTAAAGCTAATTTACATTTTTAACAGCAGTTTCTGTGGCAGAAGCTTTGTTTGTAGAGGTTTTTTTAGACCCACTTGCTTCCCGACGATCTACTCCACGAACTTGATGCCAACTAATGTTGAGTTAAGTGGTTTTTATCATTTTCTATGGCGGATGCTTTGTTTATAGTTCCTTTATAGTTCCTTTATAGTTCCTATTTAGTTCCTTTATAGTTCCTTTATAGTTCCTTTTTAGTTCCTTTGTAGTTCCGATTTAGTTCCTTTGTAGTTCCGATTTAGTTCCTTTATAGTTCCTTTATAGTTCCTTTATAGTTCCTTTATAGTTCCTCTCTTTTTGTGACTTTTTAGTTGAAAAAACGTTGAAACGTTGAAAAAGACGCAAAGATAATAAAATTAAATTTCGCGCAAATTAGAGGGGTAGAGTAGTTTTACCACGATTTAAAGCGCCAACCGAGGATTTTCTGGGAAAAAGATCACAATTATCAAACCAACCATTCTCCCCAATCCGATGCCGCGACTTCCCTCTCAGCTTCTTGTGATTGTTCAGAGCCCATTCGTTCTAAGAGTTTCTTGTGAAAATAATCGTATCTTTGGTACGATTCCTTTTCTTTGATTTTCAAGCTACTTACTAGAAAACTATTTCGAGTTAAAATGGATTCAAGATACAGTCGACTCTCTCTATAACGGAACTCTATATAGCGGAAAACTATATAACGGAATGGAATTTTGATCCCGGCCGACGCTAAGCTATATATAACGGCAATCTATATAACGGGAAGCTCTATTAACGGGGAATTTTTTTTAGTCCCTTCCATTCCGTTATAGAGAGAATCGATTGTATGTGCAAAAATGCTCCCTTAAAATTTTAAGCAACACCTATTTTTCAATTTTACCCAATGCATATAAAAATTTCGAGGAAAAAGCGTTTAAAGTTTGGGCACTTTTTGGATAAACGGGACCACCGCGAAGAATTATGGGCGAGAATTACTTCCCAATTAAAAAGTATCCAGATGGCGTAATGGATAGTACGCTCGCCCTTTGCGCCTTCTTTCCCTGGTTCTAATCCTCTCACTCTTAGAAGGTTTTTTTGCTTTTGCACTAAAACCAATTCTTAGGTATTCTAAAGTGTTTATAAACAGTAGGAAGCTACATGGGATGTTTATAAACAGTAGGAAGCTCAGCTAAAGTTCTGCTAAATATTAGGTTGGCAAGTTATAAACGATCGCTTGCTTTGTTCAATGATTTCTCAGAATTCAAAAAGATTTTTCGCGGGGTTTTTTGCTGCAAATAAACTGCAATATTTTAGCGTAAACATTTCAAATCTCTGAGCCCCTATTTTCTTGAAAAAAAATGGAGGACGAAAAATTTCTTATTCGCGCACCTATCCTCTACGATTTTAAACAAGGAAATTCAGCCGCTGAATCTCATCGTACAATTATTTCCGCTTTTGGAAATGGAAGTATTAGCGAAAATCAATGTCGAAAATGGTTTCAATGCTTTCAAAGCGGCAACGAAAGTCTCCAGGATGAGCCGCATGAGAGACACCCTGCAGGAGTGACTCATGTGGATTTGCATTTCAAATTTCTGAGCCCCTATTTTCCTGAAAAAAAATGGAGGACGAGAAATTTCTTATTCACGCATTGAAGAAATAGCAAAAGATGTCTAAAATTGTAGCTACCACGAAAGATTTGAACTTTTTAAAATCAGAATCTCTAAAAGCCAATTAAGAATTATCTAGAATCTCTAGAATCTCATCAATCTCTTGGGCATTATCAAATTTTTCATCTTTTCCTTTTTCCAGGAACCCTGTAGCTTTTTATTGTTTATTGACACTTTTAGAACATCTAAAAATTGGTTTTAGTGCAGGTTTTAGTGCAGGTTAAAATCTGTGCACTAAGAAAAAAGCAAAAATAGAAGCCAACACTTAAATGCTTCAAAATTGAGCGTATTGATCAATTTACTGATCTCAATATCTTCTCCAACTTACCCATTGCTCCAGAAAGCAAGCTTGGCACAGCTCTTGCACTTGTCTGACAGCCATTCTCAACCACCATCGTCTTTTCATTTCCATCAACTAAGAGATTCGAATCAACAGCCGGTGAGGCACCATGCAAGATGCAAAGACCTCCAAGTTTATATGTTGTAGCCTAAAAATCGTTTGACAAAGATCGAATATCATTCCTACCTTGCACCCTCCATGATCTATGCAAAGTGCCATACAGGCGACAATCGAGTGAACATCCGGATAATGAGCGACGATCTTTTGGGTGATCTGTTTATGCATGTAAACAATGTATGGGGAATCGGCTGAGCAGTCCTTTTTGGCTAAACAAAAAGATGAATTTAGGATTTTGGGGTACACTTTGGAATAACGAGCTCGTGTTGAACTGATTACTCATTAAAGGACACCTTACAAAATGCCGTAAACTCCTATTTTCGAGCCGTACCCTCAAGCTTTGGATTGGTAACCAGGTACACTATTTTGAACAGTACACTGTACACCCATTAACGCATCTATAGCTACACCCATTTACAGATCTATTTTCCCAGATCTATAGCTTACAAGGGAATGACACCAGCTCGAAGTTGAGAATCGCTTCGTGACCAAGTGCATCTCATAGAATCGGCTATACGAATTCTGAAGCTGTAAAAATTAGCGGCAAATACCCAAGGAATCTGGCATAGAAAATTCCCTTAAATTTCTGGAGTCTGGGGCCTTCAACTTTTCTTCATAGGGCCGCCACAAACAAACTTTTCAACAAATTTACAACTGAGCCTACTATCAAGTTTTTGGTTTGGACTAATCTATGAGAATTTTCTGTGTGAGATAGCAATGAAAAGCAAACGGCAAACACATGTTTGACCGTTCAGATCTCTGTTTCCAGAATCTGCAAATTGTTTCATTGGAAATCCAAGAATCTTTTGATCTTTTGATTGCTATCTCACACATAGCAAATTCTGATAGGTGAATGTCTTAAAAAGCTGATCGATTGTCGAAATTCTATAATCGTGATTGTTCATATCTATAAGCGATAAGTTTCGATAAGGTTTATGAGGTGCTTACTCATTAAAAGCCACTATGTATAAAATAGCAATGAAAAGCTGACGTTCTTGGCTTTCCAATGAAACAATTTGCAGATTGATAGCTGTTCTAGAAACTGAGATCTGAGCGGTCAAACTTGAGCATGCCGTTTGTATCGATAATATCGATAAGCAAGTCTAATGATGAGTGCATAATCGTAGAATTGACTGATGATTCAAATTAGAAAGGTGTACAATTTTGATCCAAATTCAAAAGTTTTGATTCAAATTCAAAGTTGATTCAAATCCAAAAGTTTTGATTCAATTTCAAATCCTCCCTTGGCTCATCCTTACTTTTTTGGAAAATTCTTTTTCTAATGTCTTTGCATTAAATATTTATGTTTTATGCACCCTTTTACAACTTCATTGTAGTGATTATTGTTGTTTTAGATATAGATCGTCACGACGATCGTCACGAGATCGTCACGACATTCATCTACAACTTCTTCCAACTTCTAAACCTTCAATTCTCAAATTCATCATTACTTCATAACTTTATTAACTCTGCTAACAAAAGCAGTGGTCTTTGTAAAGCAAAGAGGAATGTAAAGCAATGTAAAGCATTCAAAATATAGCAAATCTACCTTTGCCTTTTGAAGTTCATAAGTCCAAGGTGAAATTGATGAGCTATTTTTAGCTAATTTTTACAAATTTGGAACTAGCATAGCCGATTCTATGTCACGAAGCGATTCTCAACTTCGAGCTGGTGTCATTCCATTGTTAGATTCAATTCGGTATGCCATTTCTCACCCATCGACACTAGCCACTACAACTTTCAACCGTAGTTTACAGAAAGCTCTTATAGTTGAGCTTTTTCGAGTTCGAACTTTGAGCTTCGAAATCGTCAAAAATTGTTGGATAAATATGTATTCCAACGAACTTTGTATACAGAATTTGTCCACAAAAATGATATTCTTATCGTCAGCGAGTTGAGCCGAATGGCGATCGGATTTCGCGTCTTTATCATATAAACGACACTCCTCGAGAGCTGGATCGTAATTTGCGGCATAACATGGAGATTTTGAGCCGGTTGAGTTCTAAACTCTTTCATATTTTCATCAAGTTCAGTCTTTACTCACAATATTCTGCGAACAGTACATAATGCAACTGCTTTGATCGATTCCGCGAACTTTTGACGGTCGAACGGCTGCCGATAGGGATTTCCCAAAGAGCACGAAATAGGAAACGACTTCTTGTTTGGTGCAAACTGAAGGGAAACACCGTATTCGAAAAAGCCAAAACTCACGATTGGTCATTGTCGGATTGAAGAAAGTGATCGTTTCCTCAGCCGGCACTTCAGCCTCTCCATCAAGAATGTCGGTGAGATGTTTGAGACGGAGAAACTCATCCGGAAAAGCAACATCCTTGTTCGAGTTCTAGATTGGAATTGGGAAAGCTTTTAAAAAGAAATACCTCATTTGGGTGAACATTCTCAATCACAGCCAATTCTTCTTTTGATTGTTCAAATGAGTCTTTCGAGTTAACGAGAATCGTTGGCAAATCGGGCAACTCGGGAAAAGGTTCCTGAAGTTGGTGGTTGAGGCTACAGTAATTCAGGTTAGGCAACTGGTTACTGCAGTTGATACTATTGGGACTAAGTAGCTGGGGTTACGGTAGCTGATTGAATTAGAGCAGGTTACGGTAGCTAGGACATGCTTTATAACTGGAAAAAGCTCGTCGCAAGTCATACTCTTTACCCATTTCCTCACCTTCACCGTGTGAACACTGTACTGTCGTGGTCGTTGCTGGTAGCCTCGTTTCGGGACCAAAACCGATAACATTTAAAATTCATGGTTCTCAACTCACCAACACGATCCTGGCAAGCACCTATGTAACTAGATCGATTGTAGTAATCGTGATTGTTAACAGGGACAATTTGTGCTCCACCCATCGTTCCGTCATGGCCATAGATTTGACAAGTGTTAAACTCTTTATGGTAGACAATCGATGAACAACCGTCCTGAAAAATGGAAAGCTTTCTTTTTTTGCTTTCACAGACGTGCTTTTACTTTTTGAATATTCTAAAGTGCTTCGGTAATACCTGTAATAGAAGCACCCCCTCTAATGGTAGCCTCCGTTTAATACTAGCGCTCTTTAACTGAATATCTTAATGTTTACGAGAAATCTCAAGACATTCTGCTTTCCTTTTTAGCTTGCAACTATAAAATTTTCAATTCTTCTTCTTTTTACTGCTTTTCTAGCATTTCTTATTCGTTTTCTTTGGTAATTTTATTTTTTTAGGTTTGATGAGCGATCACGAAAGCTGGGATGACTTTGAAGCGTTTCGCGATCGACGTGAGCACGAACTAAACGAATTCTTTGATGAAGAACGAGAAAATCAGCGTGAATTGAACGAAGGATTACACGAGGAATCGGACAAAGAAGCAAACGAGGGAACGGACAAGCTAAAGCAAAAAAAAGCGATAGATGCGAAGGCTAAACTTGATGCTGCAAAAATGGCTTGCGAGGTCCCCGTTCATGCCGCTGCCAGACTCTACAAAATGGATTGAGATTGTGTCCAACGATACAGCAAACAAACAAATGAGCTGAGCAAAATGCACGAAAAAGGAAAGTGGCACGTTGGTGGCGGACACGCTTTGACCTCAAAAGAGATTAAGGAAGCTTTGGAAATATGGATTCTTGAGAAAAGGAGCAAAAAAAGCGAGTGACTCGTCGAATGGCCTGGAACGAAACGGCTAATTGATTTGCTGATGCAGAGATTCCCACCAATTCTCATTGAGAACGGCGACCACAACATTTCAAAAGCTTCCTAGCAAACTTGAGAAACTTCTTGCCAGCCATTTTCTGAACGTGAACAAGAAAATTAAAGAGAGCACTTTCAAGCACATATTTGCTGAAAAAATATGTAGCGCCGGCGCTACTATTACAGGTATTACGGTTATAATTCACTGAATAGTATTGAGTTGTGGTGTGAAAGTGCTGATAAAATAAAAGTCATGCGCTTTTGATATTCATTAAAAAACGCAACGTTACCAGCAAAAACGCAACTGTTACTAGTATTTTATAATAGAATTAAACCAAATATTTTATCAGTACTTTCCCTTTGCAATTCATTAGCAATAACATCATTAGTCACTTAATTTTTCAAGAGACTTTTTGCTCATTGAACTAGTGCTAAAATATAGAAGTTGTTGTTGAAATGTTGAAATAAAAATTGTTTGAAATTTTGAGTCAAAATCTAGTACCATTAAGTCGTTTTTTGTCATACAATCATTAGTTCTTTGCTTTAACAAACAAAGCTAACGATTTAGTAAACAAAGTAAAGCTTATTAAACAAAGCAAAGCTTATTAAACAATTTTTCGCAACAGACTCACCCCAGCTTTCGCCGCATTCAGAATGCAATAATTCAGGCAATCCGCTAAATTCAACTCAAACAATTCAGTGACCGGATCGGCATTTGAAATGGCATGGTTGAAACGAGTTGTGAAGCATTGAGCAGCTAAGTCAATTTTACATAAAACTTTCGAGTAAAACTTACTGAAACCAGCGTCAACTGTTGATAAAAAAAGAAACAAAAGAAATCTTTTCATTGGAATTTCCAAACGAAATGGAAAAGCGGATTGACCCATTTCACTGGGATTTCTCTCATTTTCACGAAATTTTGACGAAAAATCCGGTTTTGAATGATCTTTAAAGATGAAATGAGCTGAAGGGCAGGGAGAATTTAAATCATTTATGAATTGCAAAGATGAAAATGAAAATATAGAAGGAAATCGGAAAATTGATTGAATTAGGTATTGGATTTGGTGGATCTGTTCACTGTGAGATCTCACAACTTGTAGCCGAAGAAAAAGACAATTTCTGGAAACAGATCCACCATCTCAGGCCCTCCATAAGACCTGAATTGCTTGAATTTGGTGGTCTGCCACGTGAGTCCACAACTTAGCGGAAGAAAAAGACAATTTCTGAAAACAGATCCACCATCCCAGGGCCTCCATGAGACCTGAATTGTGCTTTGAATTTGTGTTTCTACTTGTTAGAGCATTGAATATGCGCCAGTGATCGTAATCCGGTCGTTCTAAAGCATCCGATCCTTCCCTGAGTTACGGTAATTGGTGCATTCTTTAGATCGGCTGGATCTGAGCGATTGCTCAATGCTCTAGCAAGTTTCTAATAACTTGATTCCTTATCTCTCTATCAAGAGCATGCTTTAGAGCGGCTGAATTACTAGGATTACTAGGATTACTAGAGGATTGAGTGTAAACAAATTTCTTTACGATCAACAATTTGTCAAATAATTATAGTGTACTTTGCTTGGGCAACGTTTGTTCACAATCCAAATTCAATCAAAAAAGCCAGACCTCAAAAATTCCAGATTCTCACCTGTTTCCCCGGGTCGATCGTCGGAAATTGCTTGCAATCGCGTTGTGAGAAATCGAACAGAAAACCGACTTTTTTTCTTGGTAATAAGTTTTATGCTCTAAATCTTAAATTCAAATGATTAAGCCTTTTTTACTGGAAATTTTTGCAAATGGATTCGAGAATGGCATAAGATGGATTTTCTGGATCCAATTCAAAAGTTTTCGCAGCTGAAGCAGTAAGAACAAAAATTCCAATTGCAGCTTTCCTTTAGAATGTTGTTTTTGTGAAACTTTCCCAGAAACTCAGACAAGTGAACGAGCAAATTCTTATCATCACTGCAAACCGCTGGGCTGAATACCCAATAATCCAGTCGTTATTCTCTTTGAGCTGAAGTTTTTTTTATTTCGTTTTTCTGGGTTATCCGCCTCAAATCGCTTGTTTTCTCTGAGTCTTTCACTTGTCATTCCGATAGAAATCACAAGTTGTAATAATTTATTCACAACCAATTTTCTATTTACATGACTAGCACTGAATTTCACGGATAAGTTACGATGATTTGTTCGCTTCTTCCCGTCGACGAGCTTCTATCTCCATATTCGCTCGTTCGTTACTAAAGATGCTTTTAAGATAAAACTTATGTCCCCCAAATTTGCATTTCGTCAAACATTAGAAAAATACTATTAAATTAAAGACATAGCTTCCAAAATCTGCATTTAAAATAGTAAATCTATCAATAAACGCGGGGACATAACCGACTTGATGCAAGAGGGATCCAAATTTTTCTGTAATACAAGCTATTACAAAAAGCAAATTTGCGGACATAACCGACCTGAGGCAATGAGCAATTCAGGCTTTTTTCTAATGCTAACAAAAATGTAAATTTGCGGAGGAGGATATAACTTGGTGACTTGATTCAATGGGATACAACCGTCAGAAAAGCCGGCCCGTGGGGGATATCGATCACTTTGCACCTGGCAATCAAAAATCGCTTACCTGAATTGAAATCCGGCCATCTCAAGCAACGATTTATCCGGATTGTCGTCCCAGTTACCCGGTAGTGGCACCTAAAAAATAAAAGATTAAAAAAAGAAAAAAAGAGGTCACTTTTTTGTTCCGCTCTGCTTGATTGTTCTGCCATTCGCGGAGCTTTCGTTGTTCTTGCAGTGAATTTCCACCAGTACATCCCCAAACCTGAACTTAAAGTAAGTAACGCGCAACCGCTCATCGTGGCAATTAAACATATTTGCTATTTACTTTTGAAGTAAAAACACTACGCGTTAAAGCATTTACTCACCTCAATAGCTGTCACTTCGCTCAACTCCTTGTCGATTTTCAAAAGGTCTTTGAAGGAGAAACCCAGAGAAGCTGATCGAATCTAAAAAAAACTATTCAGTAAATCGGCAGACTCCTCTTGTCATTAGCTTTATTAATAACCCCTAGCCTAAAGCAAAATCTTTACCTTAAAGTTTGAGTAAATCGAGTTCATGGCCTCTATCCGCATTAGCGCTGGGCTAATCTCATAATAGACTGTATCCGAGCCACCATATGGAGCCGTTGAATTCCTAAAAAGAATCTATCTACATATACCGCTTTTTATCTACCTCAACGTTGTATCACTTGCAATAACCACCGTTCTTTTGTCCCTTGTTGAGAATATACTGACAGTGTGGCCTAAAAGTAAAATATTATTTCGGGAGTGGGATAAATACCTTTTTTCCGCACCTGGCCCATTAGCGCACCTTTTTTCGCGTTTTAAAAAAGCTCTAAAAAGCTAATATCAACCAATTTCCATTCCAAAAGTTGTTTTTCTGGGTAGAGTTTTAGGGCGTAGAATCCAAATTTTTACATACCAGAGCTTGTGGAAGCAAACGGACGGAGTTATAACATAGAGAAAAATCGACAATTTTCTGTAATTTGGCCTACCCGTTTTATTTTGAAATCGATTCCATAAGCTCTGATATGTCAAAATTTAGATTCTACGCCCTAAAATTGCCCACAAAAACAACTTTTGGGATGGAAATTAGTTGATATTAGCTTTTTAGAGCTTTTTTAAAATGCGAAAAAGGTGCGCTAATAGGGCGGGGTGCGCAAATATCCGGGTGAGCAAAAAGTCGCATTTGTCCCACTACCTGTTATTCTAATTTAAAACACGCAAAAACTACCTTTATAATCAAAAACATTCGTTTCAAAGCGATTCACACTGACACCCTGCATGGCACTTGTATAGAGCGGAGTCCAACGAACAATTTCACCGGAAGCCTAAAAGAAATTTGTGAAAACGGTGTTCTGATTTTGCAATTTATAGAAGTATCTGCTTTAAAATATAAAAATATAAAATTACCTTGTCTTTCGGAAAATAAGAAGTCGGTAATGAGCTTTGCAGGTAAAGCATTTGAAGTGGAGATAGGACGTCCGATGATAGATCGATATTGGGCTGTAAATAATTTCTAGTAACTGTAGTAAAATCGCACTGTAAACTAGTCGCTTGCAACTTTCAACTTTGCTAAAACAGTTCCATTTACACTGATCGATACGTGAAACTGCAATAACAATAACGTTCTTTTGTCGAAGTTTACGGGTTGTTTCGAAACCAAATAACACTAACCATATCATAGTTGAGTAGCTTGTTTAAGACAACTCCTTGAAGAGCATGACAGAAACGGGGACAACGCACGTTTTTCCACTCGACAATCGATGTCCACGCGTCGCCATGTTTTGTCTAAACCAGAAATGATTAAAAATGCCTTTTAATAGAAGTCATCCCAAACTTTACGCATTTCGTGGTTAAATTTGCATTTTTGGAGAATAAGGATAACTTTATTTTTAAACTACTCACTATATCTTTGATGAGCAAATTGATAAACGTGACATCATTCTCGTAAGCTTGTCCACCCGCCGATTCGAGGCACACTTTGATGAAATGATGAATTGGCTGAATAAATAAAATCATTGTTTAAAACAAAAACCGCCAGGTTAAACGAATGGCTTTTGTAAACCTTCGAAAAAACTAAAATGAAATGTTGAATCACTTTAAAATTCTAATAAATTGAAAGAAAATAAAAACCAACTTGACATATTTTCACGTAAATATCTGTTGAGGTGCCAAAAAGTGGAATCAACTTTGAAGAAAGTTGCTCGAAAGTGAGACCGCTTGCTGACGGGGAATCGGCAGAGAAGTACTTCCACAACGAGTCAGCCAAATCTTCTGTGAATTGTTTCTAAAGAATAAAATAAAGATCAAGAGCTTTAGCTCAAGATGTTTATTTAGCTTTTTGTACTCGAAATTGTTGGACAAGAAATGTTTTTGAAGACAAGAGGTCAAAATAACTGTATAACATCGCTTCTACCTCGCTTATTTTATTCTAGTTCTTTAAATTACCTTTAATTTTACTTCCAAAGATGTACCTTTTTCTAATCTTTTTAAACCACAAAATTTACCTTAACATGAGCTTCCGTTACAGTGTTTGTCCCAGCCGAGAGCACGTTGAAGGCGGTTTTCGCTCGCGGATCGACGTGATCACCTTTTGCACCATCATGAGCTGATTGTTTCGTCTTTTTCCCATCATGGCTGTGCTCGTTTCCCATTTTATCTGAAAGAAAAGATATTAAACATTGTAAAAAGATTAAGAAAACTATGTTAGAAAGAGAAAGTCACGGCAAGACAACTTCAAAAGCTTTTTTCGAGAAATTAGCAGCATTAGAAATTCGAGTTTTAAAATCTGACGAACTTTAAACTCGGTTTTGCCGAACTTTATTTGCAAAGAGAACTTTATTTGTGTTATTAAAGGTCAAGAAAAAACGCGGCACTCCTATCGACAGGGGAAATTATAAATGCTTTATGAAGAAAGAGAGAAATGTTCACAAAAAGAGAACCGATAAATGTTCTGTGTTTGTGTTTTTTTCTTTTGGAAACCAAAAAAGAGAAATCACAGAGTAGAATTTAATGGGTGGACTGCATTGATTGCTGATTTTTGCGTTGATTCAACTATGAAAACATTCAGCTAAACTTCAGTATCCAATGCAAAAGTGCATTTAGCTTCATTTTGTCAACTTGGAGCTACAAAATGATTTCAAAATACTTATAATAAGTCCAAAAATAAGGAAGCGGGTTTTTCATAGTATTTGACCTATTACAAGAATTTTGATACCATTTTGTAGCTCTCGATGAGAGCAGAAAAACGGTAGTAAAATCATCTAAATCGATGAACAACGAAGCAAGTTATAGCGCGTTCCAGAGTTCCCTTTGCTGAAATTCGCCTCTCTCGCAGTTTGTTGAATTTTTTATAAAGCAAAATTTCTTAAATAAGGAAGCATTCGCCTTATAAAATGCGAAATTTCATTTCAAACAAAAAAAGACGAGCTTGGGGTATCGGGAAGCCCTCAAAGAGAGAAAATGGGCCGATCTAGAAGCAATAAAGAAAACAAACGGTCAAACTAACAAATAAACAACTAAGATAAACAAATAAGATGTTTATTTCGAAAAAATGTATTTTCTGAAACATCAAATAAAATGAAATTTTGCGGTAGGCTAATTTCCGCCATTTTATTTGCACAACAGGGTCATTTGCGCAACGGGGTCATTTTATTTGCGCAACTCGCCATAACTTTCTTCTAAATGGATGAATCTTTATGATTTTGGTGTCATTTTGTTGCACTTATTGAGATCTACAAAATGACACCAAAATCATAAAGATTCATCCATTTAGAAGAAAGTTATGGCGAGTTGCGCAAATAAAATGGCGGAAATTAGCCTACCCCGGAGTTAACAGTTAATTTAAACAGTTAACTTTCGGCTTAGCGATTCCCATTAGTTGATCTGAAGTACTTAATATTGGGTTGAACTGAAGGAAACCGCCGCAAAATCTTTTATCGTTAAATGTTGATTGCTGGCTATCTAAGCAATATATTTTTATGTTACTTGAAATCTGTTTTCTTGCTTGTTTTCTTGGTTCTCGATTTGTCTTCCTACCCTGCTAATATTAACTTTTAGGATGAACGCTTTGAAGTATTGAATTCGAGTTTGTATGCTTTATAACTTCAAGCAAGGAAAAATGGCAGCCGATTGCCATAGAGCCATTGCAAATGTATTTGGCCAATCAGGAATCTCCGAAAGACAATGTTGAGCTTGGTTCCAACGATTTTACAAAGGGAATGAGGATCTTGACGACCAGGATCGAGGCCATCCATCACCGGTAATCGATGACTTGAAGTTGCGCAAAACCGTTGAGGAAAACCCAAAAAAAAATAAAATCGGAGCAATTTAGTTCATTAGTAACGATAAGAGAGCGAAAAAACAGAGTTAGAAACTATAATTGTATTTGTATAAAACTGGTTTCTAGTTAAATACGCTACCTGTTAGCGCTTTATAAAACTTTGAGAAAGCAAAAATGCAATTCAAATATCAATTCACAAATTTTGCATCAAATGTTCATCACAAATGTATCCGTAAAACATCTCATTCAACAACAATGAGATGATTATAGCTGTAAAAAAAAGCTAAAGCAATTTTTAAAACCACACAAAATACTCAAAACTTTATTCCACACCAATTTCTACAAAATCTCCGTAATTTATGTCAAAGTCTCTTCTTGTTACTCCATAAGTTTCGACGAAAATTCGATGTGTTCCCTCGAGAATTCGATTGCTCAATGCCGCTTTTATCTATATTTTTGGGGCATTGACCGCAGATTTTTAATTCCTTTGATTACTTTAAATTAATTTAATTTAATTCGAAATTCGATTACTTTTAAGAAGTCTAAAGATCAAATCAGTCTAAAGTTTGCAAAAATACCTTCTCAGCTTGTTTCTCATCGCGAAATGCTGCCAGACAGTTCAGTGCCGGTCCCGGAACTCTGTTGGAAATTACGCTGGAAAGATGCTTTTAAATTATTCATGACTGTATTCTTCTTGGCTAACTTCTTTTATTCTTTTCTAAAATGTATTTGTTTTAGAAAACTGCCGGAGTCAAAGAGAGACTGAATGACGTCTAGCCGTAAGACTAGACGTCATTCTCAACCCAACTGTGGCTTCCGAGGAATCAAATCACGAAAGGCTCAATTGAAAAATTAACTTATCTATTAGCTATAGCTATATCTATAGCTTATCTGAGAAATTGAAACTGCTTTCTTTCACTCACTCTTCATTGTAGTTGTCAAAACTTGCACTACCACCAAGAAGGTTGAAAACGATGCCTCGAAAAGAGAAATTGATCGGAATCCCGGAGATGAAGAGTTGCCTCATTTTAGGCTAGAGTTGAATAAATTAAAAACATTTCAACTTGTTTAAAACTTTAAAATCAAAAAAGCTTTCTTTCTAATAAATCAAAAAGATTTTCAACAAACCTTAGCTGGCCAGCCCCGAGGGATTAACCCTAATCCAAACTCTCGTTTCCGTAAATCGCCATTTTTCAAACTCGTTCTCACATGATTTTCTAGATTTGACTTTTTTTTGTTTAAAAGCTTGCAAGAGTAAGTTTATTATATTTGTAACACCTCTTTCTCCCCCCCCTCTCCTTCTCTTTTGGTGGTGGTGGTTTAAAAACCCCCCGCTATTGTAATATTTGAAAAAATTGATTATAAGTTTATTATATTATTGCTGTTTAAATACTTTTCTAGCTTCGCTTAGCTTTTCTTAGCTTTTCTTGACTTTTCTATCTTTTACGATTTCTATCACCAACCATTTTGTTTCTCAATAAAACCAATCTCGATGAGTTCAATCTGTAGAAATGCGGCACTCAGTGATTCTTCTGTATTTTCAATTAAACAATCCTTTGCCTAAAGATAAAATAAATAAAATTCATTCAATTTCCATCTATTTTCAATCAATTTCAATCTTTTCAATCAATTTCTCTCACTTTTTTAGCGCTAGTTTTGCTTGTGAAATACACGAATCCGAGTTGGAAATTTGCCTTTAATTCTAAGCAAATGTTTCCCCAATATCTGGAATTTAAATTGGTAAATTGATAGAATTTGCTATAAGCTTTGATATCAACTTTGACAACCGACCTCTCATTTTCTGTGCTTTTGTCACTTTCCACACCACTTAGCGATAATACTTTCTTTAGATCTTGCCGAGAGAATGTGATCGGCAATCCAGTGATTACCAGCTTCCACTTGTATTTCAATGTACAATCACTTGCTAGATAACTTTTCCCAAAATCGACAATGAACGGAATTTCATTGAAGGGATGTGGGATGATTCGTTTCATTCCTGAAATTAATAAATTTAGATTTCAGTGTCAATTTCGAGATTTCAGTGTCAATATCTTGTTCTAATTTTTGGATTTTTTTCTAATTTTGTGATAAACCTTTCTTTTTCGTAGGCGCATTAATATCTTGAGAATAGTTTTGCGAAAAATCTCGATCACATTGGCCCAAATACTCGACAATCAATCGACGATCATTCAACGCTTGACTATTCCAGTTTGAAATGCACTAAAATGTTGATTGCTTTTGGAAAAGCTTCTGGAAAAGCTTTTGGAAGATTTTGGAAAATCTTGATGGTTACTTTTTTTGAGATTGCTTCATTCTTCAGCGATACAATGCAATTTTGGCCTAAACATGTGGGTCGCAGGATGATTGATCTGAAGAAAGCTTTGATTATTGAAAAGTTTTCAAATTTTCCTTATTCACTCACTTATTCTCTTCATTTCCCAACCGATCCCTGCCACCAACGATTTTCTCAATCACATCGCTTTCCGTGAAATCTTTTGGGAGTCCACTGATGAAAATACGTTTCTTATCAGGCTGGAAACAATTTAAATCAAATGGAGAACTCATCTATTAAAAGTTTCCTAATTAATAGCTAATTTTGAAGCCAGAAAAAGCTAGCTATAGTAATTACAGAGTGTCCCAAAAGTTCTTATACTTTTTGTTAAGATATTCAAAAGTCTAAACTTATTTAATTTTAAATCAAAAGCAACAAGCTGTTTAGTGAACGCTAAACTAACAAAAAAATTATAACAAATGTTTAAGATTTCCACCATCAGCTTCAATACATTTCTTTAATTGCTTGGGGAAGTTCTTGACGATGGACATTGCTGCAGATTCCCATCCAGACTTTCAAAGCATCAACTGTGTAAAAATGCTTGTCTAATATCTTGTCTAATACCTTGTCTTCAAAAATTGATCACATTGAAAAGTCAAGAGGGTTTAAATCGATGATATTCAAAGCCTAAACGTCTTTGTCTCAGCCCAGAAATATCTGATTGCAAAGCTGAGTCGTTGAACGGGCTCCATAAGCTGAAGTCCAATCTTGTTGAAGAGTAAATTTGTTCTATCCAAAAGAATTTAAGGTTAAAATTTCTAAGACATGCTTTAAAAGCTTTTCTTGGTAGATTTTAGTATTGATTTTTACGTTTTGGTCCAAAAAGACGAGTGGAAACGAGTCAAAAAAACTTCCCCGTGGCATAGATTCCACCGCAGGCCATCACAAGCTGGGAAATGTTGTCTAACCATTAATTTTACTGCAAACTTTTTTTTAAGACCTCGTTTAAGCAGCTGGTGATGATTCTGGCAATTGTGTCGCGGTTGAATGGTGGAAATCTTCTCATCGGTGAACAGGACCTTGTGTAGGCAATCTGCAGC